TCTTCAATAGGGATATGACTGCCTATTTTTATGACAGGTTGACTGAAGTGTCTGTTAACTGACCATGCAGAAACATTTGTTTTAAATTCTGTTTTATTTCTGCTTTCTGACACAATCAAACTTTATAAAAAAATTATATAGGCTAATGTTGTTATATTAACTATTTTTTTTATCCCATATTTATTTTGGTCCTTTTAAATGTTAATCTACATTTTCACTTCAGAATGTATGTATTCGATTAATCGTTATTCGATAATTATTTTTAAAATAACATTAAATGACTTTACCTGTGAATACTGTTAGTTAGGTTCTGGTCTTTAGTGACTGACCAAAAACTGTTGTGTGTTAGCGAACCCAATATTATGGAGGAGTCTACATAAAAATATCAGTTTTCATCATTATCAGTCTCTCTGATCATTAGTTTCTTGTCATAAAGTTCAATAACATGGGATACACGTTAATTTTTTATTTTATTATGATTTGATGTGATTGATTCTCAAGAAGTGAGTTTATTGTAGGTACTGAAGTTTTTGCACAACAATATAATTAATCAAGACAGAGTCTAATACACTATGGTTCAGTTAATGTTAGCAGAGTGACACTATGACTAAGTATAGAATGTCCCTGCTTCCTAATACCACCTGACAAATTACAGTTTAAGGTTTTAGCACGTTTTAGATAGAGCTCAAAACTTTGGTTTTGGTCTAACAGCTACTTTCTCCCCCCCATTTTTGTTTATCGTTCCCTTTTTTCCATTCCTGCCTCCAAAGGTTCCCAGATGAAGAGCCCAGAGAAAAAGAAGAGGAAGTCCAATGCTCAGGTTAGTGTTTGAATATTTAGTTTTAATGCATTTTATTTTATTTGTAGCCTCATTTTTTTGTAACATTTGCTGTGTTAGTCTTTTAGTGGAGAGACTTCATTCCAAATATTAGCAATAACAGAATTTAATGACTATTAGTTCATACAAAATATTAGCAATATATTTATTAAATACAATTTAAGACATTAAGTATGACCGTGTCAGTAACTCATTTTCACCCTTTGTATTTCCTGTTAGGGGGCGGCGTTTTCCCACCTCTCTGAGTTTGCTCCCCCTCCTACTCCAATGGTTGATCACCTGGTGGCCTCTAACCCTTTCGATGATGACTTTGGACCGCCATCAAGATCTGGAGGTGGGGGTGGTCCGGGTGGTGCCGCTTTTCTGCCCAGCCCAGGGGGTGGTGGAGGTGGCTACGGTGGGCCCGTTCCCGGTCGAATGGGAGGAGGTATGGGATTCATGGGTGGCCCCGGAGGACCTGGAGGTGGACAGCCTGGTCGACGACCCCCTTTTGGTCCACCAACACCAAATGCTGGACCACATCACCCTCTTGGATTTGGGGGCATGACAGGCTTTGGAGGTGGTGGAGGAGGAGGTGGTGGAGGGGGATTTCCTCCAGGAGGCCCATCCCAGTTTAATATGCCACCCAATTTCAGCCCTCCAATGCACCCTGGACAGGGCTTCAACCCAATGCTGTCACCTGGAGGAATGGGTGGCGGTCCAGGAGGTGGAGGAGGTCCACCTCATCCAAGGTTTGGGATGCCTCAGCAACAGCCTCCACATGGACAAGGTAGCCATCCCTTCAATAGCCCACCCTTACCTGGTGGCCCTGGCCCTCGCGGGCCTCCACACGGCCCTATGAACCCTATGGGGGGTATGGGAGGTGGAATGAACATGATGGGAATGGGTGGTGGAGGTGGTGGGGTTAACATGGGTGGACACCCTGGGATGCCTCAGCAAGGACAGTTCCCTCCTCCACAAGATGGCCCGTACCCTGGATCAAGTCCTCCTGTTGGTGATGAGGGAAAGAACTTTGGTGGTCCAGGTGGTGGTCCACCTGTTCCCTCTCAACAGCAACCACCTAACCTTAACCCCTCCGGTCCTCCGTCCAACAATGCTACCCCTGGTCCGTCCCCAGCCCCTGGACCCCCACAGCCTGGAGGAGGCTTCCCAGGTCATCCAGATGTTGCACAACCCAATCCCAACACTCCAGGACAACCCCAGTCGGCGCCTCAACCCCCCAATCCCAACTCGTCCCCCACAGGCCCACTTAACGGTCCTCAGCCTCAACAAGCGCCAACCAATCAGCATCCTCCACCCAACTCCACCGGCGGTCCCGGCTCCAACACATCCAACCAGCAACAACCAACGCCACCAAACTCCGCCCCAGGGTCAGCATCCTACAATCAGCAGAACAACGCTTCTGGAGGTCCAATGCCAAACCAGCCACCCAACTCCAACCAGAACAACCTTAACAACAGCAGTGGTGGGAACACCCCAGGTAGCAACCCCAATCCTCCATCCAACTCCAACTCTACACCCAACACCCAGTCCCCACTTCCCAGTGGACCCGCTCCACCACCTTCTGGCCCAGGCTCCGGTCCCCCGAAACTAGGTGGAGGCATGGTGTTCCCTTGTGGCCTTTGCTTGTCAGAAGTACATGACGACCAAGAGGCCATCTTGTGTGAAGCCTCTTGTCAACGATGGTTCCACAGAGACTGCACGGGCCTAACTGAGCCAGCATATGGGCTGCTAACTAGAGAGAGCGCTGCGGTGTGGGCCTGTGACTTTTGCCTCAAGACAAAGGAGATTCAAGCAGTTTATGTGCGCCAGGGACTGGGACAGTTGGTTGCTGCAAATGATGGCTAAGTGAGAGCGGAAGAGGGGGGAAGAGGGATGTTTGATATATTTCTTGGTGCTTCATGTCTTGTGTTTCACGGCGAGGAAGTGAAATGGAATTGAAGAATAAACCTGAGAACCAGAGGAGAGCAGACTCTGCATTTGTTTCTTCACAGCCCTCATAAGCACTTTCAGGGCCCATGTCTTTGAATGAAACGCATTGTACCAGATGTTGGAAATATTTGTATATAGAATATCATGACACATTTTCAAAATTCAGCTGTTTGTGAATGACGTTTCACTCGTTGTCTTCATTTCAACTGGGTGACAAATTGGGAGTAGCAGCTTGATTCTGGCCACAGTGACAAGCAAATTTTAATATGTATGTACAAGAATTTAACTTGTGTGATTATACACATGATCAGCCTCCAAAGAGCTGTCCAATCTTTTTCTCTTTCTTTCCAAAATCCAACTTCTTGATCTGCTAAGCACTGATGCCAACTTGCTACCTCAAAATTTTGACATGTCTGGCTAAGAATGCTTTGATTAAGGCAAGAGCGTACAGTCACCACACAACCTCTCCTCTCAGTGATTTCCATTTCAGTATATCCAAAGGAAACCGGCAGCGTCCTGAAAGACATATAAGACATGTAAATAATCAACATTTCACTGTGTCCGTAGTTGAATACATGGGCGATTCGACGGAAACTGGGGTCCTTTGTCAATGAAACTAGATTGTTTCTCTTCATGGTCAATGTTCTTGACACAAACGTGGACAATGATGGTTGGTGGCATAGCCGATAGCGGTAATCTATAACCATGTCAGTGTAGTCTTTGGATTGCATGTAAACCAATGCAGTACTTCGTCAGAACTGTTTTAATCGTTACTTTTACTGTTCCGATTAGGCCACGTCCTGGGCTATGAAGTAGACCAAATAACAGAACGAAATCAAATGTTGTCGCAGAGAATTTCTTTTGTTTTATTTCTACATTTCTGTCCAAGTTGCCTTTTTCTTATTTGTTAATCTTCATGTACCTGTGTGTATGCTGTTCAATGTGCTTGCTCTGGTGCCCTCCATTTGGCAGCGATGTGCAGTAATATGGGGGGTGTTCTGGGCTCTGGCTCTGTACTGAAAGAAGTAAACTGAATTGTTTTTTACAAGTCTTTTTTGTGACTTTTATTCTATTAAATTTGGGTTGAAAACCCTCTAAACTAAGTCAAGAAGTTAAGGATATCCATTTTCTCTAAACATGTTATTTTTTTTAGCTTTTCTTCCTGAAGGGAACCACAAAATGAAATTCTATAAAGTATTTTTTTAAGAAAAATACTTAGATGTAATAAATAAAATATTATATAGTGAGTTTATTTGTTTATATAAATATAATAAAATAATCAATTTGTAGGCAAACTCAGATGACTAATTCACCATGGGTTCCCTCTAAAATGTAGAATTGCAGTTTTTATATGTGAGTAAGGTCAAGTCTCTGGTTCACATTATTTCAAGAGATGTTTTGTTTAACCTAAACATTAGTCTTGCATTTTGAAGCTTCTTTTTTTTAAAAAAAGGCTTGTTACTAAGGAGTTGCTATGCAAGGACTGCTACAGTTTGAAAACCACATAAACTTGAATTCTTGTGGTAGTTGTAGCTTTTTAGGGACGTTTTAGCAACTTTTGAAGTTATATTTACAGCAGACTTTATTTTACTCCGAAAATAATATAAAAAATAAAAAAAAGAAGAGGAAACGCATGTCTTGAAAATAAATCAAACAACTTGAAAGTAATGCTACAGCAAGTTGTGGATGGCCTAACTCATGAAAAACGAGCAGAACAAATGTATAAAACATTCCCAGATACATTATTTTGCAGATGATTTACACAGAAGTGTTTTTTTCTGATGTGAGGCCCAACCTATACGATAATTATCACCTTAAAAAAGTAAAATATTCACAATTTCCATTTTGAATATACTCAAATAAACTGATGTATTAGCAAATAAATCTTCATAACAAACTGAACATTGCATGTTTTAATATTCTTAGATTATCTAACTTTTAACCACTCATTGTTTGTTATCACTTTAGGATTATCACCTTAGATAATTTTATCACCTTAGTTTAGGCTATTTTTCTTAGAAAATTGCATTTTAAAAAGTGTATTGTGTTTTTAATTTTACACTCCATTTTGTTTTAGGGTAACGCAATCAAAATGCGGTTTTAATGGCAATAAACAGTGGATTCGGGTTATTTAAATTGGTTAATGGGCGTGTCCTGAATAATTTATATTAGATTGACGTTGGATATTGGCCAATAACATGTTCCCATCGGTCGGCCTTGGGACAGCTCTCCAGCCAATGAGCGCTCAGGAGGGGCGGACCGATGACGCAAAGGCAACAGGTTGTTTCGGGAAAAAACGCACTGACAGTTTTGCATGGACTATTCATCCTTGTTCTCAACTAAGAGTTTTAAATAGCGACTAAATCTTGAAAGGGCTTTTTTATTTATTTTGTGCCTTCTGAAGGTCATTGTTGAAGGTTTCAGAAAACAGGTAAGCAGAAGGAATGTCTTTGTTTACTTAGCTGTGTACATTTGCCTTTCGGCTCTCTGGTTTGTGTTTTTGTTCATGGCTGCGGGTTTATGTCCAGCCTTTCAGTTGTTATAATCCATAATCACATGGCTTCAAATTTACACTCAACTTCTGCTAAGCGAAGCACATAAACACCTGTTGCTTTGTGTCTGATGGCTGCAGGCTGGATTAATACAGTGAAGATGCGCTGGTTTACGTTGACTATAATAAAGTAATTATGACTTTGGTCTAGCCTACTGTGATCTCACTTTGATCTCACTCATTTTTGTAAATTGTTTGTAGACAGCGTTGGGCATCCCATATTTGGAAGGGGTCTCAAATAGCCTATTAAATCTGTCTGTCTATATTGCACTTTTGTTTCTGTCTCTTTAACATAGTTAGAGGACAACACAGCTAATCAACATATCTAAACTGTAGCCATAAAGTCTTCATTGTAATATTAATGTAACCGTATATTTAAATAACAGCGGGTTTCGATCCCACCGATACTGCCTGACTTGCTGGGTGGGTGTGACGCAATTTACAGGACTACCCAAAAAAAAAAAAAAATCATTCTGCATTTTGCTTGTGCTTCCTTATCTCCCGAAAGTCCGTGAGTATCCGTGAATAGAGACACTTGGGGACAAAAAGTGCCTGTCTCAGTGTAATTTAATATTTAGCTCTTGGTTATTTCCTACACTGCATAATGGTACTTGTGAATGGAACAAAACTCAAACCCAAATTCTATCCTGTACTTTATAGTGCAATGAACTGGCAAATAAAATATCAATAATAAAATTACAATGAATTAATTGCATTGAATAAGTGCAAAACCCATGAGCCTTTGTCCTTATATGTATAGTATATGTACAGATTGTCCAAATATGTATAGTATTTTGCTTATGCCTATTGTTTAAAACTTTGGTTTCTCTAATGAATATTGTTTTGTTCTTGTTTATTAGAATATTGTTTATGTTCTTATCTTGCTTGTATCAAGTCATCAAGCTGCATTATTATTTTGTCAACAAAAACTAGCCCAAAGCTATCATATTACATCAGTGCTTGGATATATCCAGTTATACAGAGCTCAAAGCTATAACCTAAACTGAAGTAATTGGGATTGGTGATAAGAAAACCATAATCCTAAATGGACCTTCACTTGTTTTCTGTGAGAGTACTGTTTTCTTTTATAAATATGCCCTTTCATTCCTTCCATACTGTCATAATAACATGTTGTGTTTTATTATACACAACATTAGCTTTGTCCTATGATCCCAAAAAGTAGTTGGCCATTAGAAGGTAGACACATACACTTTTAGGAAAACATAAATTAAACCATGTGTATTCTCTTCAGATTAAAGACAAAAAGTATTTGGACACTTTTTGGTTGTCACATTTGTGGAACATCATGTTCACGGTCAAAAAAAGTTGCTGCCTTATCAATATACATTATACGATCAACTTGGCTGTTAGATTTAAAAATAAGTTGAATCTCGTTTAACATAAAATTTTTGAAAATTGCTTAACTTATTTTGATGAGTTAAAGTAATTTAATGTAACATATGATGTCATAGCTTATTTTATTTTTTACAGTGTTCTTGTGGTCATTCTGCTTGGAAGCCTGTGTAAACTTGAGGAGAACTAACTTCATAAACCCAAGTGAAAATAACTTTGGGACCAGTTAGGTAAAATTAAAAATTAAAAATAAGAATTTTTCAGAAAAGTTGGTTAGAAAAATGGCATAGCATTGATTTTCAGATAGCACAGATGATACTTGATTAAGAGTGTATTTTTGGGGGGCCCATGTAAATTCATTTACATTATGTTTTGAAGAGTTTGAAGAGAGAGAGAAAAAAAAGAAGAATATATATATTTGGGCTAAAGGCAGTGTTTTCATAATTGACAAATGATTTAGCATCAAATAAGATAACAATTACTGGATTAAAGCCAACAAACATAAGTACCCTTAGGGTATTAATTCTTTCAAAGTATGTGGAAACTGATACATCCCAAACAAATCTGTTTTAGGTTTTTGTTGCATGAAGCTATCAACCAAAAAAATAAAAATAAAAATGCAGTCGGTTGAAAGTGAGTCATGTTAGTGTATCTGTTATTACAAACCTAAGAGATCTGTTGTAATGTTCATTTATCTGTAACATAGTGTATAATGTGTATGTGTGTGGTTAAGGTATTTCTGATGTTTTGAGGACAAAATCTCCCCACAAGGATAGTAATACCAGAAATATTTGATCTTATGGGGACATTTTGGGTCCCTGTGAAGAAAATCACTTCTAAATCATACTAAATTATCCTTTATTTTAAGTTTTTAAGTTGTATGTGTTTAGGGTTAGGGGATACAATATAGGCCTAGGCTACAATTTGTAAAGTATACAAATCATTATGTCTATGAAAACCCAATGTGTGTACTGTACACATTTACATAATTCATAATTATGCTTTTTATATGTATAGTCATACATACAGAACTAACATTTGAGTGTGGTTTGAGTTTTGTTACTTTCCATGTTATTCACTGATTCAGGGAATCAAAGGAAAACGGAGGACAGTATCAGTATACTCACAATATGAAAGGAAAGACCTCTTACTGCTATTTCATTTACACTTTAAATATACAAAATTATGAGTGATACGTGTGACAAATTTTAATAGTTGAGTGGTTGAATTTAAAATTGAAAGGTGTTTATTTACAGTAAAATGGAGTATCAGTAAAAGATAAGCATATGATTAGAAATGATGTGATATGCCAATTAAAATTTGCGTTCATTAGGTTCAAAAGGTGCGTTCATTAGGTGGTACCACCACAAACGTTAATTGGTAAATTACAAAGAAATCAATCACATGCTTTAAGTCATATGTGCAATACAACTTTGACTTAACTTTACTACTTGAATGGAAGATTGCACAAAGAAACGATTATCTAGTCTTGTAACATTCCTTCAAAGACAAAAGGTTGAACCCAGTGTCTTGCGGACAGTGAGAATCATGTCCAAATAGCCAAACCTGGAAAACTCGCAACTGTGAACAGTTTTCATTTGGCTACTTTGTGTGTATTTTTGTCATATTTTGGTTAAAAATGGACTTAGTCCCCTTTAACCAATGAGAAATCACATGGTGGTTCCATTTTGCAGGAATGCTTGGAATCCCACCTATGTGAGGAAGACAATGGCTTACTTTGAGTAGCTAATCAGACCTAATGCCTCAACAGTGCCGCTGACAGTTATAATGTAACCAAATCCCCCGATTCCAATAAGTTATTCATTGATAGACCAGAGATTATGGACTGTTATTTTAGATCTCATTGTCTTCTGAGTTTTTGCCACCAGTGTTATGCTGGTAGATAGTAACTTGGTGTTTAACACAGGATGCTACTTATAACACACAGCAATTCTTCTAGAATTCTTGGACTCTGCAGATTGAAATGGTTTCAAGACTTCAAGCAACACACTCTCTGATGTGTTGTAATGAGGGCTTTAGACGATGCCCCGCATAGCTGTGGATGTTTTCTGCATCACATGTTTTGTACAATAGAGCATATATGCGTCTCTATAAACACCAGTTACTCAGCAGATTAGGCTCTGCATTTTTGATCCTTCACTTCAATGTGCCATGTGTGCGATGATTTAAGGAATGTTGCTTTCACAGTGATAAGCTATTTTTGAACTAATGTTACTGCTGGAACTGTGTTCTTGGAAAACGGGAAGACTGGAAGCCAAGTGGAATGTGCTAGAACCTGCTCCTATCAGCAGACACACCTGTTTGTCACACACAAACAATATCTTTCTCTTTACAAATGTGAGAAGACTCAATACCTGTGCCGAGACCTGATAGCTGTGTCATAGCGTACAAAACTCCTGCATATTTCTGTTTATCAAGGTGTGACACAAGATATCAAGCAGTGGAGAAAGGATTGTTAAAGGGTCTCTTGGGAAATTAGTCAAATTAATAGTCCTGTAGTCCTGTCCTGTGGGCCTGAAACAACAAATAGATGCCATGTCGAAGTTTACATGAATCAAAAGTCTGTTCAGTGTTCTGCTTTGTAACCACATACAGACTCTTTGACTCTTTAATACATTATTTAAACAAAAACCTTTGCAAAGAATTTCTAGTGGAAAAAATATTCTGGATATTGTAGGTTGTTTGACTTGTATCAGACGCTACATCTATCCAACACAACCTTGTTTTCACATTAACTTCATAAAATTAAATTTGATGTCTGCCCTGAATTGGTCCATTACTGTAATGCCGCCTTTGTGAATCTGTCCCCACTTTGGGTTCCCCAATTAGTCCACAAAACAGTCTAGCTTTTTAGTCTGGTCTCTAAATGGACTTGCAGAGTGTCTTACTAAATTCTTTGTCTTGGTACCATAGCAGGTCACAATGAGTTCCCTCTCAGCAGACAGGAAGCCCCCTCTGGACTACGGCGTACAGATCCGGTTCATCAAAGATTTGGACGATGCTGGCGGAGGGTTCCCAGACAGAAGTCGAATGGCTGGTGGAGTTGGCGTCACCAACGGGACTCTTTCGCCATCTAAGTATGGAGTAGCTGTGCGGGTGCAAGGCATTTCAGGACAGCCGTACGTGGTGCTCAAAGATGGAGAAAAGGGGGACTCTTACGGGGTACAGCTGAAGACTCAACCACAAATTCAGAGCTCAGCCCCTGTTGTCTCTCAGACTTCGCCGTACAGCACCCTGTTTCTGGGACAAAGGGAAGGGGCTCGAACTCCCCAGGGTTCCTATACTCCTGCTGAACAACCTAGCTCTCCTGATGAGGAATTTGGTAGCCCTTTGAGGAGGCCACCTGGTGATGGACAGGCAGGGATTCAAGGAGAAGCTGAGACGAGGACTACAGGACGCCTTACCCCTTCTGCTCTTGCTCCCAAGGTGGACAAAACGGACAACGATGGCTTTAATGAAGCAGGGCTTAGGAAGGTCAAGCAGAATGGGAGTGGGAGTAGTCTGAATGGAACGGGGCTAAATGGATCATTCCCTAGTCTCCCATCCCCATTGGATGAGGACAAGGCCCCAGCTATAGACACAAAGTCACTGGCTCCCATTAATAAACTCATTAGCCGGTTTGGTGGTGGTGGTTTTGGCGATGCTCCCATCTCAGAATCCCGAACTCAGCCTCGTCTTGACAACAGACTTCGGTCTCACAGCGTGGATGCCCTCAACAAACCTATTGATGAAGCCCCACCAACTTCTCCAACAATAAACCCCTATGCTTCTATTACCCCAGTTGCAGTGCCCAAACTCAGCTCACCAAAACCATCAACCAGCAGTCTAGGACGAGACTCCACATCTGTGGCTAAAGTGGCTGCTATACCCAATTCCAAACCTCTCACTTTTAGCCAATCACCAAAGCTGTTTGTGCCCAAGGAGGCACCACCTGCTATTCCAAAGAAACCAGTGAGTCCTCAAGATCTTGTTCGTATTGTAGCCTCTTGACCTCATCATTTTTCATCAAAAGTTCATTACTGAATCTTCTGGGGCAAATGAGTTTTCTTTGGTGACATTTACTTCAAGCCCTTGAAGCTTGTGTTTATCAGCCTCCACTTTTGAGTGGAGTGGAACCAATCCTGGCCCTATATAGTTTTTTCTTTTTTGATATTTTGTTAAACTGTTAAACAATATGGAAGAAAATATCTATTGCTACTTCCATTTCATTGTGACTTTAATTTGGAATAGCATGGCCAAAATGTTCTGAAAGTTGAGCCAAGCAGAAATTATCATTTGCTGGCATCAAGTTGGCTAACATGCCTTTGGAGGGTGGAATGTGGAGAGGACGTAATCTCGCACCAGAACCGCCGATTGGCCAACACGTTTTTGGATTGGCTTATTTCTCTAAATGAAGAGTTCAGATGCAAAAGCCTCTAAATGCCATTTGAAATTTTCTTCTTTAATGATGATTTTTATCAAACTTGTATATTTAAGTTCAGTAATTTCACTTAAATGGCAATGATAATTACCTATTAATTGTTATTTAAGTGAAATTACTGAACTTAAATATACAAGTTTGATAAAAATCATCATTAAAGATGAAAATTTCAAATGGCATTTAGAGGCTTTTGCATCTGAACTCTTCAAATATCTATTTCAGTGATGTCTGTTAGGTAGTAGAAACATTTTAAGTATGGTATTTGAAAAATAATGCTCCTTTGATTTTTTTCAGGTAACCCCTGACCTCATAAAGAGCCAGACCACCAGTACAGAGAATGGAAATGGGGAGGATGCCCAGACTAAACAAGCCATTTACAACATACTCAAAGAGGGGTACAATAATACTTTTATTTTACCAAGCCTCACAGTTACCTATATACTTTGCAGTATATAAAGTTAATTTAGTTAATGGATAAACACAGACTTCATGCTTTTATTAAAGTATAAAGGTTTCACATAACAATATTACTGTTAACGGGTGTTATACTGCACGAGTGGCTTGAGAGAATTGAATGATATTTAGTACGTTTATATTCTGTATTGCTCATACTTGGAGATTAGAGATTTGAACAAATAGCAACATGCTAAAAACCACTCTGAAAAAGTTAGCAAGCTCCTAACATCCAAGCAAAGTACTAACATGCTCAAAACCACTTAAAACCCCATAGCAACTTCAAAGCAACCCCACCATCTTAGTATTTTGCAGTGGCACACACTTCTCACATTTTTTTTCTGAACATGCCATAATCTTTTTCGATTTCCTTTCATATTTAACACTAGGTCTATTGAGAGCGAGGCGGCCATCAAGCGCAAAACCAGTCTCATTCATGAAAGATTCTGTGAGGTGAAGGTAAGCATGCTCATGTTCAATAAATCAGTTTGCATTTCCCAGCACTGAATAGTGCTCAGCAGTATTTGTTGAATGAGGAACTACATCCAGAGAAAATGTGTATGTGCCTGCATGCGTGTGCTTGTGTGTGTGTGCCCATGGTTTGCGTATCGCATCCCTGTTTTGCATTCCGAGTGTGTTTTGAAAGTGACAACGTAACACAGAAAGATATTCTGAGACTGTGAGAGAAGATAACAGCAATGAACAACTGTATTTTACAAGCACACTCATTTATTTATAAAGATAGAGTTTTAAATGGGCGATAAGCGTATATGTTTTAAAGATAGTAAATCAACCAATAATAGGCTTTATTTAAAGGGGGAGTCATTAACTCATCCTCATGACATTCCAAACCCATTTGACATTTGTTTTGTGGAACACAAAGGGTGACTTTGTGGAAAAACCTGGCCAATATAATTTTGATTATAAAGCAATCAAATTTAATTATTGAATGATCAAGAATCAAGCTCTAAAATAGCAAATATGTGCTACAATATTTCAAGTCATATGATAGACATTTAAGGCTAGAAATTTAATTTTCTTTGTTGTGATGTCCAATTTGTGAACCGTTTGATTCTGTTCACAAAAACAGTCTGTGTGATTTGTCGATGAATCGGACTGATCCGGTTCTCATAGCACATTAGGATGGCTTATCAATGAAAGACCACTTAAATTCGGTTCACACAATGACCTTTAATGACTACTTAAATGTTACTTTTGTGGTTCTTAACTGCCCCAGTAAATAAATCATTTTCATTTTTGTGTGAAGACCGAGAGCTTCATATGTTCATCTGTCTAGTCTTGTGGATGTGTGTTTCTGTTTTAATATTGTCAGCCTACGTGTTTGCATAAGCTTCCTGTGTGTTTGAGATATCCTCCTACAGTCTCTTGGCAACCGTTGCATCAACGAGGAAAGCTGATTAGGGCTGCGTGGTCGAGAGCTCGCTCTTTGTGATCCATCAATAATTAAGTTACACTGGAAATGGATACCTATGAGGGAGGGTTTCCCCTCGATCTGGGGGCCCTCAGCATGTCTGTTTGGGTTACGGGTTTAATGGGCACATTAGTTGTACGGCCTTTTGCGCTGTTGTATCCCACCGAGTGCTCGTCCATGCATGATAAACTCTGTTGTTGTGGGCAGTATTGCCGGGAAACGTTTTGACTGTTGGTAATTAAGCTTATTAGCGTGGAGTAAACCTCATCAGATGCTTGGAGATTTTAGTGGTCTGACTCAGACTGTGATTTATATATCATATAAGATGTGTTTAGTGTTTTTTATTTTTTTATTTTAAGAAATTAGTACTTTTACTCAAAAAGGATGAATTAAATTGCCTGAAAAGTTACAGATTATTTCAATATGAACTTCCTATTCATCAAAGAATTTCTTAAAATAACAATAAAAATATATCACGGTTTCCACATTAAGGCAATTTCAATAATAATGAGAATAATAATAATGACATGTTTCTTGAGCAGCAAATCAGAATGATTTCTGAAGGATCATGTGAGACTAAAGACTGGAGTAATTATGCTGAAAATCCAGCTTTGCCATCATAGAAATGAATTACCTTTTAAAATATATTAGAATTTGAATATTATAATTGACCATTTTTTTCTTGTATTTTTGGACCAAATAAATTCAGCCTGGGTGAACCGAATAGACTCCAAAACATTGAAAAAAATCTTGCCGACCCCAAGCTTTTGAATGGAAGTTGATCCTTTTAAAATTGTGTGATGCCGTTAGGTTATATAGCAAATGCTGGGATTAAAGGATTAGTTCACCCAAAAATGAAAATTAAGTCATCATTTACTCACCCTAAAGTTGTTCAAATGCCGTATGTCTTTTTTTCCTTTTTCGGACCACAAAAGGAGAATTAAAAAAACTAATTCTGCTCGCTCTCGTCCATATAATGGCAGTGAATAGTGACCAGCATCAAGATAATAAAAAAAAGATGCAAAAGTGTCTCAGAATGTGTCTCTTTGGTGAAAAAATAACCAAAATTGAATGTTTTATATTTAATGAAAATCCTGGCCTTGGACGTTGGTCTTCAGTGCTCATCTGTGTGTTCATGAGACTATTAGTGTCACAGTTCAATCCAACTTGCCCAGAATAAACACACAAGGCACACATAAATGTGACCCAAAATACATTCCATAAACTTTATTCCCTGATGTGAATTATCTGTTGTGTTCATCGCAAACAAGAATGCAAACTAAGTTCTGGTCCAGAGATATTCAACTCATTTCTGACAACAATAGTACATTAAATTTCGTTTTTTTTTTTTGTTGTTTTTTTTTTTTTTACCAAACCTACTTTGAATATATGACGCTTGTCGCATGGGATTAATCTGTGATACTTCTACATCTTTTTTTTATAACAACACCAGGGTGAGTAAATGATGACTTAATTTTCATTTTTGGGTGAACTGTCCCTTTAAGATAATTTTTTTTCTTACTATTATCTACATGGCTAATTGTTTTAATTTACACTTGTGCTAGAAGATTACTTCTAACAACATGACGTTGAGTACGTCTCAATCACCTCCCTAGTTCAGGGAACTGATTAGGGAGTCGGACATTTTAGTGGCAAAATCTTAACACAATCGCTCCCTAAAAAGTCCCACAATGCACTGTAGAAACCAGGTAGCATTATGTTCCCTCACTATAGTTATAGTCATATAGTTTAGTTCCCTTAACGCAAGTTCTGAAGTACAAAGCATAAATCACACGAGCCAACTCAACTACACATAAGAACATGTGATAGATGTTTTAAAACACAAACCATTATTTAATTATATTTCAGCATGAACTTACATCGCTAGACAGGTAAATGAATAATCTGTCATAAACTAACATTTATAATTTACTTACAGCTGAAATGTTGAACATGTATACGTAACAAGCAAAGTATTTATCATAATGTACTTTAAATAACATAAAAAAAACCATCAGAAAGATATCAGTTTTGCTGTTGTTCATAAATGCCAGTAGTGATTTTGTTATGAAATAGTCAGTGTGTAGTGAGCCAGGGTCCTTCCTTACTGTCCTTAATAGTGCCCGAATTTATCTAATGCACCAGAGAAACGTGGGCGCCGTCATCTTTAGAATATTGTCTTTGAACTTCCGGTTCTGTATATTTCTATGGCATCGCTGTCGAGGAGTAATTAGCTGGTGAAGTGGATTACTTATTGTAGAGTTAACAAAAGTTATCATGAGCATTGTAATGTTTATCATAAGCATTCTAAAGCAGATGTCTTAACAAATGTCGAACGGGAATTTTTTACGAGCAGTTCATTCATAGATGCAAGATCGCTATGGAAATACAGACCGGAAGTCAAAAGACAACGAGCGCAAACGCTGAAAAGGGGCGGGGCTACATAAGGTCTATATACTTAATTCATGCCTTCAGAAGCTGGGAGCTGATTGAGACGCACCCTTTAATTGTACTTTAATGTGTTCTATTTTATTCAAGAAGTAACTTTAGACCCTGCAACACTAGAGGTCAGTTCGAATGACCTCGTAGTAGCCATGTGTGGGCATTATAATGGCAACAGCAGTTGAATGGTCAGATGGGATATCCTAGAGGACTGGGTTATTTGAGGAGCAGACAGCTTGGCTACAGGCTGTGTGTGCGTGTTTTAATGATGTTTCAGATCAAATTGTTTTGTTTCGGTGTGCTTCCTCATTAAGATGAGCAATTTGCATTTGTAAGATGATTAATTTAAAACATATCTGTATCAAGTGTCAGTCAGAATCTCCCGACAGCATTTTTGTGAATTATTAGCATTACTAATGAGGGGATTAGCTGTAAGAATTACTTGTGAAGTGTTGATACATTAGATAAGACAGGATATATTGATTCCTGAGGGGAAATTCAAGGCAAAATTGCTGGTGTAAGATGAATGCATAGCCCCGAGATAACACCGATCATCCTCCTTGTAGAAATTTTGGGCTGCAACTTGTATGAACAAAGCTACATGTGTTCTGCTTTGATAAACCCTGTTGAAATCAGTTTTACAGTTCTTAAAACTTACAATTATAAGTTGTAGTTAGCTGGAAACCACCAGACCTAAAGTATACATGCTAACATGACTAATCTTGTCCGTGAAATTTTTTTAAAATCTTTTAATTCCTGTCATAACCACGTTCAGCCAGTTAACCCAGTAACTTTCATATACTACACTCAAGGTACCAGGAAAGGGTTTTTACATAGCAAAAAATCTTGTCACAGAATGTACGTCAGTAATGTTAGCCTGTTTAGCCACCTTAAACAGTAATCCCACTGGTTCAAGAATGAACTTTACAGCTCATAAAACACATTTTGTGTTTATACAGAAAAATATATAATTCTGTTTTTAAACCTACTGTAATGTTTTCGTCCATAGACTTCCATTGTAAATGCATCAGTGTTTCTGTGTTAATGAACAGCTTGCTGTGAATATAGATATATTGGTTACGAACCTAGGCCACTCCATTAATTGTTGAAGGTTATGTGGATTTGGTTTTCCACAGGGTCCTCAGATCTTAGTGAATGACAGCAATATGAAGACTGAACTGGAGCAGGAAATTAATAAGAATGCGCAATTACAGCAAATACTGGACAAGACCAAGAGAGAACTGCAGGAAAACCAGGATCAGTAAGTCTCTGTGTGCCTTATTAACAATAAAACATGAAGCAAATTTCCAACAGAAAGTATAATCCTGTCAGGTATAGACTTTTGATTGGATTTGTGTGATGTGTCTCCAGAATGGTGGAGCTGCGGATGGATCGGGAGTTGGTGGAGTCTCGCTTACGGCAACAGGAGGATCAGCTTGCTCACCTCCAGGAAGAACTCAGACGAATGTCGGAAAACTCTCCTCAGTCTGACACAATGCAGCTAGTAAGCATGATTGTGGTGTTTAATCACCCTTAAAGGAGTAGTTTGCTTTAAAAAAAAACTTTTGCTGATAATTTACTCACCCCCATGTCATCCAAGATGTCCATGTCTTTCTTTCTTCAGTCGAAAAAAATGGTTTTTGATGAAAACATTCCAGGATTTTCTCCACATAATGGACTTCATTGGGAACCAAACGGTTCAAGGTCCAAATGGGTTTCAGTGCAGCTTCAAAGGGCTCTAAATGACACGAGACGATGAATAAGGGTCTTATAGGACCCTTCGAGTCATGACTCGAAAAAAGATTTGTTCATTTTGATGAACGAGTTTGAACAGGAGAGTCACGAACGCTCATCACAGAACAGAGCAAGGCGAGCATTTGTGCTTATGAAACTTAAACTTTTTTATTTATTTTTGAAATGACGGATCGTTTCGCTGGATAAGACCCTTATTCATCGTCTGGTGTTGTTTAAAGCCCTTTGAAGCTGCACTGAAACTTTCATTTGGACCTTGAACCTTTTGGTTCCCATTGAAGTCCATTATATGGAGAAAATCCTGGAATATTTTCATCAAATACCTTAATTTCTTTTCGACTGAAGAAAGAAAGACATGGACATCTTGGATGACATGGGGGTGAGTAAATTATCAGCAAAGTTTTTTTAAAAGTGAACTACTCCTTTAAATAAGTATTAATATATACAAAGTTAAAATAACATTATTGATATATTATTCATTGTTTAAAGTGTAGATGAATGCAAACTCCAGATAATCAAATTTAAAAAAGATACACAATGTTATATATACAGTATCCACACACACATACAGAACTAGACAAACATTTGGACACTTACTCATTCTTTATTATGATTACTGGTATTCTTAATGATTGAAAATAAAGTAATCAAAACCATGAAATATCATAAATGCAGTAACGGGAAAAATGCAATGGCCATCCATTCAACCACATTAGAGCAAAAGGTTTTTAAGTCCATGACAATCATTCATTCAATCAAGTGTGTCCGAACCGTTGCTTGCTGGGGTTTTGTAAGATATTATTATTTTTAAAGCTGCAAATGTGCTTTGTGAATGTGGAATTGAAATCAAATTTAATTTTTGTTCATAATTCAGTTTCCTTTTCTCTTCAGGACTTGATGACGGCGCAAGCAGAGCTGTCAGAGTCTCTGATGCTGAGGCAGAAACTGGAGGACACACTGAGACAGAGGGAGCGAGAGCTCACCGCCCTGAAAGGGGCCCTGAAGGATGAGGTGGAGTCCCATGATAAAGAGATGGAGTCTCTGAGAGAGGAGTACAGTCAAGACATGGATGCCCTGCGTCACAGCATGGAGACCGTCTCACAGGTGAACGTACACTTCGAGACAAATCCCTTCAGGGTGATGAATGCCTGTTTCTCACATTTATAGTCCCTGCCTCAAGGAGACTGACATGCTTGTCTTGTCTTGCAAGATTAGTAGTTGAATTTGGCCGGATGCATTCGGGTTTGTGATCCGTTTGGTTGTCTAAAGAGTTTTGTGAATCTGAATGGATGTGAAGTATAAAACTGAAGTTTCCACCTGATTTTTGTGTGTCTTTTGGTCTTGCCTTATTCACAGTCTCAGATGGAAATCGAGGAGGAGCGTCAGAAGGTGAACGCCTCCATCATGGCTCTGGAGCAGGAGCTGGAGGGATACAAAGAGCAGAGCGAACAATGGAAGGAGCAGTGCAGCTCTGCTAACCGAGAGTAAGCTTTGACACATCAAGCATAAACATTTGAAGAATGTTAATAATGGTGATGCCAAAACGTCAAAATGAGCGACAGGGACTATTGGTGATGCGATGTGGGTGGGTGCAACTAGTTTATGTAGATGCAGTGAAGCCCACCAGACCAGAGCCCGTCTAACGGAGAGCCTTGGCACTTCCTATTAGCCCCATTGTGCATCACCTTGGTTGCAGTTCCATTAGAATTCCACTGGAGATGATCACGGGCGAGAGCAGAATGAATGGGAGTCTATGGGGCTAAACGGCTAAATGTGTCTCTTTCACCTGCTTGTCGTTCAATCAAAATAGATTTTATTGTTGATTCCGCAAGTTCAATATAGATTATAGGCCAAAAGTCGAATGAACGAGTACTTATGTCCTTTTGATTTCTTACAGGTTAGGCTGTTGTTGGCCGGAACACGCTAGCATTCTGCTATTGTGTGACGTCATCACTTTTTTGAACGGATTTTTAGAACAGATAAGTGAACTTAAAAATGCAATTTTCAGCTGAGTGTATTTTCTTAGCCCTCCCTTTTGAAAGCAACTTTCAAATTACTTGACAAAAAATTACATCCTGAGAAAAGAGGATTTCTGGGGGTGAAACCCCATTGACTCCCATTCATTCTGCCCTCGACCGCGAGCGCCCCCGCATGGACAGAGACGTGTTATTGCAGCCAGTCCAGAACCCGGTAACTAGACAGTGCCAATTCTCTTCAATTAGACATTATCTGAGCCCACCAATAATGACCCACAACACAGTGACCGTGCAACCTTTAAAATTAGCATATTTTAAGGGGACATAACATGTCCATAAGGTTTTAAATGATTAAGGTTGCATAGTTGTGTATTATAATTTCTTGTAAGATCTTAAGGTGTCACTCCAAGGTTTAAGTCCGTATTTGTCTAAGGAGTCAAGTGATTAATCTGTAATCATATACAAACAACCTTGTGACCAACACCCCTTTTTAACATTCAGTGTGTTCTTGAGAAATATGTTTGTTGACACAGTTATACAGTTTATCCAAGATTCTTTGATCAATAGAAAGCACATCATTTTGTTTGAAATAGGAATCTTTTGTAACATTATAATTTTGATCAATTTAATGCAACAAAATCTTATTGACCCTATATTTTTTTAATATAAGTGGACAAAAAAGCTGTTTTAAAGGACATTTGTTATGACCTGAATGAATCTTTTCCTACAGGTTTCATAGTATTTATAGTGGTTTTTTTATGTTGTCTTAGTTTGGCTTATTTTTTTTTGTGTGTGTTTTATGAGTTTCATGCTCTGTGTTCATGTCAGATTTGCTCATTGAATGTTTATTGTTGTCTTTCTGTTGTATGTGTTCACTCTTGGTTTGCCAGACGAGGGCAGTGCAGCGCATTTCAAAAGTGAGACAAAGTCCTGTAGACACTGCTGACACCACAGGCAGAAATGAATCATCTAATCAAATTAACTATGATTGATGAAGTGTTTTAGTTTAAATCGGTAATCTTTCACCGAATCTGGCTGTACTAGTTATACTGACACACTACTAGAGTCTATTAACCTGTTTTCAGTTTTCAGGTTATTAAAGGGATAGTTCACTTTGAAATTAATTTTTGCTATGTTTTAGCTTACCTAAAGGGCATCCAAGATGTAGGTGTCTTTGTTTCCACAGTAGTTTCAATTTTGATATTTTTAGGTCAAACCGTTCTTGTCTGTCAGTCATATAATGGAGGTCTATGGTCACCACCTCAAAGAGCATGCACAGAGAAGTCCAAATTAAACATGATTTAATGACTTGTAAATGTAAGTACACATTGATGGCCTAAGACACGAAACGAGCGGTTTGTGTGAGAAAACTAACAGTATTTATATCGTTTTTACCTCATGTAACCACAGTGATCTGAGGGCGCGGGTGCTTCGGTCTGCGCAAGCGCCGTAAGTGATGTCTCATGCATGTACGTCACTCATTGTTTACACAGAGATTTCAGAGGTGTTACCCTTCACTGTGAAGATCTAAACATATTTAGATATACAGGATATAAACATATTTACTTTTTTTTTTCCGCAACCATGCGAGAGATAACTTCCAGTGCTTTCCGGCGCTTGTGCAGCCCGAAACGCCCGTGCCCTCAGATCACTTGGACGTGGCTGTGGTTACACGAGGTAAAAACGATATAAATACTGTTCGTTTTCACACACAAACCGCTCGTTTCGTGTCTTAGGCCATCAATGTGTACTTACAATTACGAGTCATTAAATCGTGTTTAATTTGGACTTCTCTGTGCATGCTCTTTGAGGTGGTGACCATAGACCTCCATTATAAGACTGACAGACGAGAACGTTTTGACCTAAAAAATATCAAAATTGAAACTACTGCGGAAACAAAGACACCTACATCTTGGATGCCCTTGAGGTAAGCTAAAACATATCAAAAAATAATTTCAAAGTGAACTTTCCCTTTAAGTCTAATAAAAGTCATCTATGATTAAAGACTAATGAAAATCCTTCAATCTCACAATCTGAGCTGTTACATCAAATCTAATCACTCAATACTTGAATTCTACTAATGTCAAAAGTTCTTGTGGACGCTTATGTCTTTTTTTTCATGTCATGAATCATTTCGATTCTGAAATAATACAGATTTATCTATATAATGTTGATTCTTCTACAGGATGAATCATTTTAGGGGCTATCTGCACTAACGTTGCTGAATGTAGCATTGTTTGTTGGTGTATTTTAATTTGTGTTTGTCTCATTGGACAGGCTGATGCAGGCTCAGCATGAGAAGAAACAACTAGAAGAGAAGCTGCTTTCAGTTAAGAAGCAAACTGATGAAACCGATTCAAACCCTTTAATGAAGGTAAATTTCATAAAGAAGCGCCACAATCACAAACTCTCTGTTCTTCAGTTCAAAAAGAATCATTGTGACACCAGTCCATGCACTGTGTAGGCTGTCTTTTGATGCGTAGATTTGTTTTAGAGTCTGGAATAACAGTAATTTGCATCTCCAGGAGTTACAGCAGTGCCGAGATGATTTAAAACAAGCTTATTCACAAGTGGAAAAACAGAAAGCAGAGGCAGCAAAAAAGGAAGAAGAGCTTAAATCGGTAACCAGAGCCAATGAGAAGCAAGAGAAGGAGCTGAAAGCAGAGATTGACGGATTAAAAGACCAATTGAAGAAAGACAAAGAGGAACTTGCAAAAGCACTGGAGAAAACACAACAGGTAATTCTAACAAGGTGCATTAAATCTCTCTCTCTCTCAAGCTTTCTCTGCTCTGATTGGTTCAAAAAAGCATAATATGGTACTTTAAAGGCAAATATGTTCTGATTGACTGGGATTTTGTCGCTCATACAGTTTCTCGCTTTCCTTGAGAACAGAAAACGTTCTTGCAAATGTAATCTGTTTTTCTTCCTGTTCCTGTAGCCCTTCATGTCAGAGCAATCTCTGGATACTGGAAGCAATCTAGAACTTCAAGAGGCCAATGCTCGCTTGAGAGAGAGAATAGCCCGCATGGTAAAACCTCCCTAAAAATGCTTAAAAATCATATTCATGTGCATTTATTTGCATTTTGCTTTAAAACGATTGGCATAACCATTCATCTCATCTGCTTTAGTTCAGTATTTCTATGTAGAAAGAGTTGAACTTTCTTTTCCCGTTGGTCACCAGACGCTCCTGCAGTCCAGTGTTCCTGACAGCAGCTCCTCAGATGTTCTGGAGGAGGAGAACCGCAGCCTGAGGAACCAGCTGGATGAGTCCCGTCGCACGGTGTCTCGGCTGGGTCAGGAGAAAGACGAGCTCAACAGACGGTTGGAGGAGAGGGAGAGGGAGAGGGAAGCTCTGAGACGCGGCAAGATCGACATAGAGGAGCAGAAGAGACTGCTGGACCGATCTCTGGAGAAGATTAATAAGGAGGTACAGTATGTGTGTTTTTTTTGTTTAAAAGAAAAGTTTGGGTTCGTTTCCATTTTTTATTTTGTTTTAGAAAGACATGCTCACCAAGCCTGAATTTTTTTTTAATCAAAAATACCATAAAAAACAGTAATATTTACAATTTAAAATAGCTTGTAAAACTTTAATATATTTTAAAATGTAATTTATTTTTCCAGCAAGCAATAGACGTCATTTCACCGTCTAGCTTAGCTATAGACCCGATATAGTCCGGCTATGAGTAACCCACATCTAGCCCAAATAACCTAGAATTTGGTTACATGTCGTTTTTGCCAAAATAACTTGCGGAATGTATTATATTCCATCATGTAAGCAAAGTAAACCGTGATTACAAAGTGTTTGGTTTCATTTCTTCACTCATTTAATTTATTTATCCAATTGATGACGAGTCTGTTCTTGCACTATGGTTTAGATATCTATAAAATTTTCCCTGACAGCCCAAATTTTGTCTTTAGACATCTGGGCTGTGTATGGACGGCCATTAGATGTCTTTTAATTTGACGCAATTGCGAGAAATAAAGTCGCAATTCTGAGAAATAAAGTCACAATTGTGAGAAAAAAGACAGAAGTCTGACTTCTGACACAATTCTGACTTTTTTTCTCACAATTGTGAGTTTACATCTCGCAATTCTGACTTTATAACACATAATTGCGAGTTTATATCTCGAAATTCTTACATCTTTTATCAGAATTGTGAGATATAAACTCGCAATTGCGAGTTATCAGGCCAATTTTAAGGGGAAAAAAAGACTAATTTTTTTCCCCTCAGAATAGTTTATATATCACGATTCGGACTTTACAACACGCAATTTGGACTATACATCATGCATTTCTTACTTTAGAACACGCAATTGCGAATTTGTATCTCGCAATTCTGACTTTATAACAAGCAATTGGGACTTTATATCATGCAATTTTGACTTTATCTCGCAATTCTGAGAAATAAATTCGCAATTGCGAGAAAAGACAGAGTTGCGACCTTTTTATCACACAATTCTCTTTTTTTCTCACAATTGCGAGTTTACATCTCGCAATTCTGACTTTATAACACATAATTGTGAGTTTATATCTCAAAATTCTGACATCTTTTCTCAGAATTGTCCGATATAAACTCGCAATTGCGAGTTATCAGGCCAATTCTCAGAATAGTTTATATATCACAATTCTGACTTTACAACACGCAATTTCGACTTTATATCACGTATTTCTGACTTTATAACACGCAATTGCGAATTTGCATCTCGCAATTCTGACTTTATAACATGCAACTGCAACTTTATATCATGCAATTCTGACGCAATTGTGACTTTATTTCTCAGAATTGCGAGATATAAAGTCAGAATTGCGAGATGTAAACCCGCAATTTTGAGAAAAAAATTCAGAATTGTGAGATAAAAAGTCGCAATTACCTTTTTTATTTTTCATTCTGTGGCGGAAACAAGCTTCCATAATATACATATATATATATATATATATATAAACTTGGCAAGAAAGGAAATGTCCTCTCACTTTTAACTGCCACCCCAACAATATTTCTTAACATGTGTAAATATTTGTATGACTATTGTTATTTTTTTGCTGAGTTTATTTGATTTTTTTTTTTCATTTTCTTTCATTTCTTTCAATCAGATGGAAAGTATGATGGGAGAGTCGCGTCAGTCGGTGACGGTTCTTCAGTCTCAGCTGGATGAATTCAGGGATCGTTCTCGTCGAGAGCTGCAGGACGCTCAGAGAGTCAGTAAAGACAGGCTGATTGAGTCACAGAGAGCGCAGGCCCTCCTCAAGACCACCCAAGAAGAGGTGAGACAAACCACCTGAACACTAGACACACAGTGTCGAAGTAATACGACAGTGCACAGAGTCCATTAACATCTATTGTTATTACCTTTTGAGCACCAAGGTTCTTTGATCCGGCTGATTTGAACCTACAACTTCTCAGCACAGAACCCAGATCACACCAAATGAACTGTGTGTATGTTTCTCAGGTGTCTCGTCTGAAGAAAGATCTGCTGACGTGCTCGGAGGAGAGGGACAGCGCTCAGCTGGATAAAGATCTACTGAGCAGTCGTCTGAAACACCTGGAGGATGAGCTGGAGAAGGAGAGGAGCTCACAGACGGACCGTAGCAGAGAGATCCGCCTGATAGAGGTAACGTGTTGGTTTGGCACCTGGACTTTTGAGTGGACAGAACTCAGTTCCTATTCTTAAAAATGTTTCAGAGGCTTCATCGAATAGTCATGTGATAAGAGTGGGAGAAACTGAAAAAAACGTATAGGGTTGTTTTAGGGATATACGTAAATGTACGTTCAGAGATGATAATAAAAGTGCATGTTTTTGTTTTAGGACAAAGTGAAGATATTAGAGATCGAGTTGGACGAGGAGAAGAGTGGAACGGAGCTACTGAACGAACGCATCACTCGCAGTCGAGAGCAGGTACATAGATAGTTAAACGCTGATTTCATTGGTCATTTTGGGGTTTTGTTGTGTTTGCAAGCACAGATATAGATTTAGAATATTTTTTTTTATTTTCTAGGTGGATCAGCTCCGTTCTGAACTGATGCAAGAGCGCTCAGCCCGACATGATCTTGAGATGGATAAGAGTGCACTGGAGAGACAGGTACATGCGGACTCCAGATTCATTTAGTGTTTCTAGATTTATTTATTATGCTTTTTTCCTAGTTTGTTTAATCCATTTAGAATGACTTTAGCTAGACCAGAAACCATCAAATTAAATGTTAGTTAATAAAATAAAATAAATTTGGTTAACACGTTTTGTCACCTTCATAGTTTTGTGATGCGTTTAAAATCTTCTATTTGTTTATTTTCTCTCTTGGTCTCTCAGATGAAGGAGTTAAAGTCTCGTATAGCTGATATGGGCACTCAGGTTCGTCCCTCTGCCGGGGTCACGATGCTAGAACACAAAGTTCAGGAGCTGGAGGACCGTTTGCGCAGTGAAGAGAGGTAAACGCACTGCATAGAGTAGAGATACCAGACAAGCACAAACACACACACACTCCTGTCATCAATCAACACCTAAATGGGAATTAATAAAGCCACTGCTTTTTGTGCATTCAGAGAGAAAAACACCATTCTAGCGGCTCAGAGAAGATTGGACAGGAAACTTAAGGACGTGACGGCCATCCTGGATCAGGAGCGAAATCAACACGCTGAACAGAGAGACCAGGCAAGCACACACACATGTAGCTTTCACATACCTTAGGGTATGTACTTCGAAATAAAAAGCTCTTTTTAATTATGTTAATTGTCATTTCTGTAAATGAGGTGTAGATGTAGCTAGACCTTCGGAGGAGTGTGTGCATCTAAACAGCTGCTGTGTGTTTGTCTCTAGCTGTCCCTGCGGGTGAAGGCTCTGAAGCGTCAGGTTGACGAGAGCGAGGGGGAGGTGGAGCGTCTGGAGGGCGTCAGACGGAAGGTTCTGCGGGATCTTGAGGAGCAGCGGGAGCTACAGGAGGCGCAGCAGGCCAAAATCAACACACTGGAGAACGAGCTCAAGTGAGTGTCCGTCAAGCCTTCATGCACACAAATATACATATCTACTTACAAATACATACGTATGTGTGTATATATATATATATATATATATATATATATATTTGTATGTATGTATGTTTCTGTATCTGTTTATAAAATAATACAAGCATGATGGCCTTGAACTGATAAATAAACTTGTACATAGCAGTATATATATATATATATGTGTGTGTGTGTGTGTGTGTATTTTAATGTATTTAAAAACTATGTGGAAATTTTTTTAAAATTATTAATTAGTTTAAAATGTAATTTTTGTAACGTTTTATGATTTATTTTTGTTAAAACAAAGTGACAAAGCACCACAATCATATTTGGATGTAAAATACAGGGCTCAATTGAGTCTGTTTTTGAAATGCTTCATAAAATTGGACCTGAATGAATGAATGAATGAATGTGATTAATATGATTGAATGAATGAATATGATTAAAATGAATGAATGAATGAATATGATTAAAATGATTGAATGAATGAATGAATATGATTAAAATGAATGAATATGATTGATATTATGATTAAATGAATGAATGGATTTGATTATATGATTGATTGAATGAATGAATGAATGAATGAATGGTTAATATGATTGAATGAATATGATTAATATGATTGAATGAATGAATGGATATGATTATATGAATGAATGAATGAATGGTTAATATGATTGAATTAATATGATTGAATGAATGAATGAATGAATGAATGAATGTGATTAATATTATTGAATGAATGAATATGATTAATATGAATGAATATAATGATTAATTTGAATGAATGGATGAATGAATATGATTAATTTGAATGAATGAATATGATTAATATGATTGAATGAATAAATATGATTAAAATGAATGAATGAATGAACATGATTAATATGAATAAATCGATGAATGAATGAATATGATTAATATGAATCAATGGATGAATGAATATGATTAATATTATGATTAAATGAATGAATGGATTTGATTATATGATTGAATGAATGAATGAATGAATGAATGAATGAATGGTTAATATGATTGAATGAATATGATTAATATGATTGAATGAATGAATGGATATGATTATATGAATGAATGAATGGTTAATATGATTGAATGAATATGATTAATATGATTAAATGAATGAATGAATGTGATTAATATTATTGAATGAATGAATATGATTAATATGAATGAATATAATGATTAATTTGAATGAATGAATATGATTAATTTTAATGAATGAATATGATTAATATGATTGAATGAATAAATATGATTAAAATGAATGAATGAATGAATGAACATGATTAATATGAATAAATCGATGAATGAATGAATATGATTAATATGAATCAATGGAATGAATGAATATGATTACTTGGTTAATTATATGAAGGCACTTCATATAGAATTAGATGTCATAATATTATTTGATCAATTTACTGCTACTCACTGGAAAAAGTAGCTTGAAAGTGGAAAAGTATACACTGTCTTGAAAACATCTGTGCTACTGCCACACTACTGAAAAATATAGTAAGCAGTCAATGGTTTCGTTACTTTTAGGTTACATCCCACCATTGATATACAATTTCTTGAGTGGCCATTTGACTGGTTATTTATATTAACATTCTCACCACCAGAGGGTGCACTTACAATGCTGGTCTATAGCAGATGCTGGTCTCTCTGGGGTCTAAAGTGTCAGTGTGTGTGTGTGATTTGTTTGTTAGGAGGAAGGTTCAGCAATCACGCCGCCCAACTCTGGGAAGCACCTTGAGTTCTGAGGAAGAGGACAGTTACTCTGACTCAAGAAACATCACATCTATTCTCACTGAAACGCCACTTCTGACCACCAACTGTTAAAGACTGAACGAGAAGGTGGGGATATATTTTGCACATGCTTGATTTGTGTTTTCTTAACAAAGAAACATGAAATATTGAAACATGAAGAATACGATAGAATTCAACAGTCTGAAAAAGCTGTTGTGGACAGCTAGCCTTTTCAACAGGAAGTGATGTCAGGTGTCTTTGAAGGGTTTGACAGGTGTGAGGGCCTAATAAAACAGTTCATGTAAAGACTTGTCAACCAAAAGCTCCTTTAGTATTGTTATTGCTGAAACTGGTTGATTCTGAAGGAAATTAGCTTTTTGTTCTTGCTTTTGTGTTTGTGAATGTCATGTTGATTGTTTGTGACACACAATACATTTTATTTCTCTGTTTTATTTTGATAAAATATGGTTTGGATTGAGGATTTTTAACATTTCTTAATCATATTACCAAAATTTCAAGTGGTAATAGAAAAAGTATGAATGAAGAATTTTATCTTTATACATGATGGATAGCCTACTTAAGCTCAAAATTAGACAGACGAAATTTCAAATGAACCTGTCGCAAGTGTTTGCCTATAATTTTTAAATTTAAGCACTTGTATGAATAATAATGAAAGATATTTAGAAGGCTTCTTTTTGTGTAGCTTTCAAGCAAGTTTTAATTTCCGAACTAAACTTGTAATGTGAATGACACCTTTTGTGCCAAGACAGAAAAAGGAAAATATCTTTTAATGCAATGGCTTAGAATATATATTTGCCTTAAATCTTCATACATTTAGACAGCTCATTAAAATTAAGCTGCTTTTTTGTCATTTTACCAGAGACATTTATGTATTTACCTGTCAGATAACAAGTGATTTTCTTCTCTTAAAGACCTGATTTGGAACACAATTTCATATTACACTGTACAATTTATATATGTATATACTGTCCTGTTTAAAGTTTATTATTCCACTAAAAGTTTTAAAGTACTTGAGTTTTTTTTCTCTCTCTCTCTTTGTGTTACTGAATTAAATAAACAGAAAATTAATAAAAATGTAAGTATTAGGTTGTGCTTAAAATATAGGTTTATCCTTCAAGTGAATTACTATTATTATTTTTTTGTCATTTAGGATTACAGTGTTTGGTGTAAAGACAAATTTTGCAGATTTTAATACAAGTGCATTTTATTACAACTCAATAAATCATGAACTGTGTGTACACGCATATGGATAAGTACTTTATATTATGAAACACATGAGACCAATTAATGAAGATCAATAGCTTTAAATAAGTATATTTCTAAGTATATTTCTGTAATTATATTCAGTATTTTTTTTTCAACATTATTCATTCTTATGAGTTTTTTACATTAAGTAGACACATTAGAATGGCAAATATAAAATAATAAAACATTTCAAACATAACAATGACACTGTACACAGTGTAAGAGATTTTCTAGAGTGTACAGTGCAGTGAGAAATCTCTCCGCTACTCCATGATATGGTACAAAGACAAACTGTTAACCATGTTACAAAAGGTAATTTGATTTTGTTTCATCCAAACAATGATTAATAGTAATGTAATATAAAATAAAATGAAAATAATTTTCTTTGTTAACCAATACTGCTAATACAAAAGAACATGGCGATGCTCAAGTCAAGTCACCTTTATTTATATAGCGCTTTTTACAATACAGATTGTATCAAAGCCGCTTCAGAGTGATAACCTGAAAATAATACAACACAGATCAAAAATATTGTTGAATATTAAATGTCCCCAACTAAGCAAGTCAAAAGCCAAGGCAACAGTAGCAAGGAACCAAAACTCCATCAGGGACAGAGTGGAGAAAAAACCTTGGGAGAAACCAGGCTCAGTCTTAGACAAGTTCTCCTCTGGCCAATGAATTAACAGTGTGTGATTCGGGCAGCATTACAATTCAAATTAGATTGAAACATTAAGAGTATTTGTCCATTTCCATCTGTTTGGAAGTCGAAGTAATCAAGCCGGTATGGAGACGAGTTGTTGAGGATCTGTGCCAATCGATGTCGTGTCGATGAGGCCGTCACTTAAGGATGAGTTGGGATGGGTCCAGGGTCCACAACAAAATATTGAAAGCCCTATTCCTGATTCCAAGGCATATTTCTTCATTGATTGTTAAGTAAAAGTACTGTACAATATTTTAAATCCCCATAACCCATGGTCTCATTAAGTCTCAATGGCCTGGTTAGTGATTTCAGTGATCGTCATTATTTATGTGAATTCAATAAGAATGTATCATCCAAGGATTTATTTGCCTGATGGACAGTGATGTCACACCAATCATGAGGTATGTCTGCTGCTTTTAAATTGCATATCTTAGCAAATTTGCTGTTGTACTTGGCAAAGATGTACTTCCAGAAGTCAGTGGCCTCAATACTAGTGTCAGGCTGTATCCTCCAGTCTGGATAGATTTGTCTGTATTCCTTATATGGATGCCATTCATTTCCTGTGTCTTCACAGCGGAATCTACATTCACTAGCAACAAGAGATGAGCATATGTCAGCGACTAATTTATTTGTATCAATCCAACTGTTGTTAGCGACGCCGAGTGGCCGATGAACCGAGGCAAAATGCTCAGTATGTTCTTTTCCTCCGGCTTCACAAGGTGCACTGCAGAACGGACAATTTTTCCCACAGCCAAACACTCTGCTGAAGAGCACCTCTTGAGGTTTGTTCATTGAGAGTCTGCTTAGCGTGACCCTTACATCCTTTACACTACATAGCTGATCTTCCAAGGTCTTGTGCATTTTGTCGATTGAAGATTCAAGGCAATCTGCAAACTCAGCAGGGTTTGAGTTGTTTAAAGCCAGAGTAGCACTGAGAGTGTCTATTGGTATGACCAGCTCTTTATCAAGACATTTGAAGACATTTGTCACGAAATTGCAGCTGTTGTTTGTCATGCTTTTCGCACTTTCAATTGCTCTTTTGAGTTGGCTGACAATTGCATTTAAATGTTTCATCTCTAACTTGAGAAGAGCATCATCCTTTGAAAAATGCTCAATGATCTTCTCTGAAATCCACTCGGTTACAAACATCTCGTAATTCCACGAATACTCCAAAATCTTTTCGAAGTCTTTATCCTGAAGCAGTTCTTTTAAAAGTGAACACTGGAAAAATGTCCGTGTGCTAAATGCAACGCCTCCTTCGCCTGTCAACATTTCATCCACGATGTCAGGTCCGAGACGTTTCTGGATGTAGTCCATCACGGCAGGGGCGAAGCACTGCTGGGCACACATCTCGGCCTTGTTCTGACACTGGTCTCGCTGGTAGTAGAGGTCTTTAAAATCAGCTAACCATTGATTTTTGCACCTTTCAAGAGATGTCAAAGGGTCAGTTTTCTGTATGTAGTAGTCATGCATTTTCTGGAAAGCTCTTGCTGCAATCCCGCAAATGTGGATCTTGAGAGACGCTTCGATTTCAGGGCTGATCTCTACACCCTTGCAGTCTTCCAATTTCTTGTCAATGAAGCACAACAGTTCTTGTATGTCAGCACTATAGTCTAATTTTGCACTTGTTTTAGACGAAATGAATACTTTGCTCTCATTTATTATTCTGTCGCATGACATTTGTATGAATTTGTGGTTTTTATTCCTCTGCGCAGGCATAAGGGAATTCTTGAGTTTTTTGAATATATTCGTTTTTACAGTCATTGCATAAAAAGGTCCAGTGCCGCACTGATCTAGACTGGTGACACTTAGCAGCATCTCACGTACGGCTCCACCTTTTGTTTCCATGTTGCTGTGTAGGAATCTGAATGTTTCCTTCCCCAAATCACAACTTGGTAGTGCTGTGAGGGAAAACTGCTTCACAATGTCGTCCCACATTTTTTTAAATTCCTCATTTAGTTCACTATCAGAGAGGTTGTGTTTTGTATTCTTGCAGGCACTGATCAAGTTGAGCACTTTTTCTTTCATGGTATCCCTTTGATTTTGTCTTATAACCTCCACCTTTTCAATTCCCTTCTGTATCAATACGGCATTCTCCAGTTTGTTTCGCAGATCCGTCTCAGTCTCCCTTCGAAGCCCCTTTGCACTGTTTAAAAAATCCTCCTTGTAATTTTCAACGAGGTAAATATTTTCATCCTCGCTTTCAAAGTATTTCGCAATTTTACCCAAAAGGCTTTCCTCCTCTTTGTCAAGCTCTTTACTTGCTTTATCTTTTAAATCGGCCACTACTCTGTCAACATTAAATGCATTTCTTGCCTGCACTGACATTACACTCATGTTAGTGATTTTGGTTTCAGATTTTGTGTACCAGCCAATCATGTGCTTCTTGAAGGCCCATTCCCAATTGTTAAACTCAACACAAAGTTTGGAGTAGGCTTCAGCGACAAGACTGTTACGAAAACTGAAAATAAAGTTTTCAAACTGGACAGCCTTCCAGAGACTTCGTATCCATTCTTCAAATTCCATCAAATTCTGTGCTGGGACTCTGGTCACCTTAAGAAGGTTAAGTATCCCATCCTTCAACTTACTGACCTCCTCACTGTAACCAGTACTAACAGGTGCCATTGGTGGAACTCCAAGCCACAATCCAGGGATGTACCAGTTGTTTCTATCAATGTTATACTCCAGAATGTCTGTAAATTTCTTGTTGTGGCCAACTTTCTCCATTCGAGCAGCTGCTTCTGTCATTTCATCTAGTTGTTTCAAGAGAATCTTTCTCTCTTTCAAGGTCTTCTCATACACGGCGACATCTGCAGTGTTTTGATGCACAAAATGACAACAGGGCCTTTTCCCCACCTCTTTCATGCGGAGAAAGGCATGGACGACAATTTGCAAAGTGTCTTTCATTTCTGTAGCATTCTCCATGGCAATGTTGACAATAGTAATATCGCTAAGCCCAACAACCACAGTCGCAAGTTCGTTATCGTGCTCGTAACTATTTGCTAGCTTTACCAACTCCGGAGATTTTAATCCCTCGGTGTCAATCACAAGGATGTAGTCACATTGAAGCTCTGATCGGAATTCCTCGGATACGGCTATTAGAAGCATGAAGGCGCCTCTTGTGCATCTTCCACTGCTAACAGCAAACTGAATTCCAAACATTGTGTTGAGGAGTGTAGACTTACCAGTGCTTTGGACTCCTAAAACTGTTATAACTCGTATCCTGTTGTGAGGTGCTGTCAGTTTGTTCAGTGCCGTAAGCACATCTCTAATCCACGTCAGTGGAATGTTTGATGCGTCTCCGTCAATAAGTTCTACAGGGAACCCGGTCAGCATCAACTGAGCACATATTTCTGGCAATTTCTTCAGGGCAGGGTACATCTTGTTTTTTTTGGAGTGTGTTGATTCATAGAGTTGACTCAACTCCCTCATGAAGTGTTGAACTCCTAAAGAGCTACTGGCAATCTCTTTTTCGAGATCACTGAGATGTTCTTTATTTTCTTTGGGATTATTACATACTTTCCTATACTGCTCATCAAGCCTTAACTGGCGCTTTCTTGTTAGATGATCTAAATTTATTTTCATCCATTTGAGAAAATATAACTGCTCATATTGGGAGCAGTTCAGGCCAGAGATGAATTGATTCATTGTTTCTCTCATGTTGTTGCTTCCTTGTTGCTTTCGTAGTTTTTGGATTTGGCTTTTAAGTTCACTCTTGTAGTGCTCAATGTTTTGATTCTTTGCCTTGAGTCGACACATCTCTTTCTCAAGTTTGGATAACTCCTTCCATGGTTTGTCTTGCAATGGCAGTTCCTTCCTTTTGTATTCTGGTATATTTGTGATTTCTTGTGTGATCAGATCTGCCCTTTTCTTTGCATTTTGACAAATGGTATTGTTTTCATCGACAAGAATCCCTAGACTCTGCGCCATCTCTGACATCTTTTCAATACTAATTTTAGTAGAATCTGCAAGTATATCAACAACGGCCTTCTGTAGAGTATCAACAAACCTAAAATCATTCATGCTTCCATCCCTAAGGATTTCGGAGTATGGTTTGAACTTTGTCAAATTCTCTCCTGACGTTGATCTGTCTGTGCTGCAAACCAGAACCAATTTCGAACTAATTTGCAGAGACTCCAGAAATGTCTGATTTGAGTCCAAATCATCACAGAACAGAAAAACTGCAGAGGATGTTTGGCTCAAGAAGTCGAACTGGGCCTTAAAGTCAGAAATATCCCCACGGAGATTTGCTACGGCTACCGGCTCTTTGAATTTGTCAATAGTTTTCTTGCCGCCAGG